GCCCCCCCCCCCCCCCCGCCGCTTAATTTGAAAACGATCGATAGAACGGACCAAAAAAACATTAAACTTTATTCCCGGCTCTTCGAGCGTAAGATCAGATTAGTATCAGTCAGAATTTATAATTATCATTTGCGAGGGAAACAACGCATCGCAATCTCTGCTTCGACAGCGTTTCTGGTCGCACTTTAAAAATCTATTTTTCAAAGGACACGCTGGTTAATTGACGTCGCCGTTCTCCCGGATCTCCAATTCATCGGCGATAATGAGAAAAATAGCTGGCAAAACGGAGATAATAATAATTGGAATCGATGCGCGGGGCTCTTGTTTGTTTCTCTAACCCGTAACCCCGCCGGCAGAACTCTCGGTTTTAATGCCCCATCAACCGGTGGAATAATAGAACCATAGAACACCCGGCGTACGTTCGTTCCCTCCTGTCGCCCCTCTAACGCCTATCACCGGCCACTCTTCTATATGCATTAGTCTTGCATTAATGACATTAATTATACACCGCGTTCGAATCGCGCAGTCATCGCAGCGGACCGACTGTAATTAGCGGCCGAAAATAGACGGCGTTGGCCGTCGGGGTCGGCTAAAAAACCGTGGACTTGTGCTACCGCCGAGAAATCTGTAATTCTCGAGAATATTACTCGATCCCGGGAGCTTGTCAACCACGACTCCGAAGTCAATTAATCGTTCAACGCTCGGTGAATTCTTCATCCGAGCTTCTTTTCTCGGAGATCTTGCGCACTCGAAACCAGCGACTTGGCTGCAATTTCGTCAGACTCTCGATCGTTGCGAAACCTTGCAAAATTCATTAACAATTACCTTCGGATTTCTTCCATCGAAAAACCACGGTTTTGTTGAGAAAATGCAGGTGAAAGCATAGTAATTTTGATCGACTCGTAGATTGAACTTTAGTATAGGTACAACTTTTAGTTTGCATTGCAAATGACACTGGAAATATTTATTGCCTTTTATTCCATTGATTTATTCACGGGAAAATAAAAATTGTAGAAAAGAAAATATTATCGCCTTAGAAAGGTTAGTAAAATGTTTAATGTACAATATGCTGCAACGATAGTTTTAGATTTCCTAAGAATTGTTCGATTACAATAATAATGGTTTATTTATGCCAACGGGGAAAGTCCTTTGTTACATAGTTAACAGTAAAAAAAATAAATATAAAAGAAGGAAAAAGTAATATACGAGTGTAATATGATATATGACACGCTACGTCAACAATAAGAGCGGAGCGTTTAAATGAAGCGAAATAATTATTGAAATAATGAAGAGCGTCGCAAAAACGGTGAGAAACAGTAAGAAGTGAGAATCAATCGGTCTAGAGAATTAAAATGGCCGTAAAGAGCGCGACACAAGATTCAGGTTCAATTATCTCTGTCTTTGTGTACGGAGTTAGCATGATTAACCATTCTATTAATAAATTTTTGAGATCCACATGTTGCGCGATAGTTTGCAGAATAAAATAATGTACGATTTCATGATAATGTACGTTCTGATGGCGCGAACGAGAACAATTGAATAATTACTGGAGATGAAATACAGTTTCTGATTACTTTACTTGCGAACAAAATATCGGTAATTTTTCTACCATTATGCAGGACTCGAAGAATTGTATTTTAAACGGATTGCATCTCATTTATAATCCATACTAAATTATGGCATAGCCCTAACTCGGTCAGCTCATTACAAAAATTAACAGCCTAATTGCCCGCGTCTCTTTCACCAGAATGGATCGTCCAGCGAGTGAAAGAAACGTCGCTGTTCCGACTTCCACGAAGTATCTTCTCAAAATAAAAATCTGCATAAAACTGTGATGAATTTAAATGACACCCAGAACGTGACAGTAAGTTTCCTCGATAAATGAATCGAATAAAGGGGCTGGAGGTGTGACAAGCGTTATGTCAAGCGTCAAAAAGGGATCACGGGTAAACGACCGTTCTCACTAAAAACGCTAGTTAACGACATTGTGTGCGAGTTCGCCGGGATAGGTAGCCGCGAGGAGAGAAACCTGCGCAATCTGGTGCCTCGTAACGAGGCGGCCTCTCCGTACGCTCGCCCCTTAAGCTCGATCATAAAGAGCGACGATAACAGGCCGGGCTCGGCGACGGCTCGAACACGACAGTGTCCCACTGTTACGGCGGGACGGATTCATAAATTTACGCTTCGCGGCTATTTTCTTCGTGTATACGCTTTGTGTGTGGTCCGATAACCTCCGACTGGCCGATCCCCGTTCCATTTACCCCGCGTCACCCTCTTTCTGTCAACTTTACTGTTAAGGCCAGAGCCGATAACATCTCGATTATCAAACGACATGCTATTGGGTTGGCAACTAAGTAATTGCCGATTTGTTCAATGAAATAAAAATTTTTTTTACTTGGAACGAAGTTTCATCTGTAATGTATTTTCCATTTTGTTCGATGACCTTTTGCCATCTCTCTGACAACTTGAAAATTCCACGCTCGTAGAAAGTCTGATCCTTTTCGGCCAAAAACTGAGTTAAGTGAGATTTTACAGCGTCATCGTCGTTCAAAGTTTTACCACGAAGGGAGTTGTCCAGGGATCGAAATAAGTGGTAATACGATGGCGCGAGATCAGGCCTATATGGTGGGTGTAACATCGATTCCCAAGCAATATCCATGAATTTTTGCCGAGTGGACAAAGACGTGTGCGGCCTAGCATTGTCCTGCTGGAAAATGACACCTTTACGATCGACCAATTCTGGTCGCTTTTCCTTGTCCGCTGTATTCAATTTGTCCAGTTNGTAAGATCAGATTAGTATCAGTCAGAATTTATAATTATCATTTGCGAGGGAAACAACGCATCGCAATCTCTGCTTCGACAGCGTTTCTGGTCGCACTTTAAAAATCTATTTTTCAAAGGACACGCTGGTTAATTGACGTCGCCGTTCTCCCGGATCTCCAATTCATCGGCGATAATGAGAAAAATAGCTGGCAAAACGGAGATAATAATAATTGGAATCGATGCGCGGGGCTCTTGTTTGTTTCTCTAACCCGTAACCCCGCCGGCAGAACTCTCGGTTTTAATGCCCCATCAACCGGTGGAATAATAGAACCATAGAACACCCGGCGTACGTTCGTTCCCTCCTGTCGCCCCTCTAACGCCTATCACCGGCCACTCTTCTATATGCATTAGTCTTGCATTAATGACATTAATTATACACCGCGTTCGAATCGCGCAGTCATCGCAGCGGACCGACTGTAATTAGCGGCCGAAAATAGACGGCGTTGGCCGTCGGGGTCGGCTAAAAAACCGTGGACTTGTGCTACCGCCGAGAAATCTGTAATTCTCGAGAATATTACTCGATCCCGGGAGCTTGTCAACCACGACTCCGAAGTCAATTAATCGTTCAACGCTCGGTGAATTCTTCATCCGAGCTTCTTTTCTCGGAGATCTTGCGCACTCGAAACCAGCGACTTGGCTGCAATTTCGTCAGACTCTCGATCGTTGCGAAACCTTGCAAAATTCATTAACAATTACCTTCGGATTTCTTCCATCGAAAAACCACGGTTTTGTTGAGAAAATGCAGGTGAAAGCATAGTAATTTTGATCGACTCGTAGATTGAACTTTAGTATAGGTACAACTTTTAGTTTGCATTGCAAATGACACTGGAAATATTTATTGCCTTTTATTCCATTGATTTATTCACGGGAAAATAAAAATTGTAGAAAAGAAAATATTATCGCCTTAGAAAGGTTAGTAAAATGTTTAATGTACAATATGCTGCAACGATAGTTTTAGATTTCCTAAGAATTGTTCGATTACAATAATAATGGTTTATTTATGCCAACGGGGAAAGTCCTTTGTTACATAGTTAACAGTAAAAAAAATAAATATAAAAGAAGGAAAAAGTAATATACGAGTGTAATATGATATATGACACGCTACGTCAACAATAAGAGCGGAGCGTTTAAATGAAGCGAAATAATTATTGAAATAATGAAGAGCGTCGCAAAAACGGTGAGAAACAGTAAGAAGTGAGAATCAATCGGTCTAGAGAATTAAAATGGCCGTAAAGAGCGCGACACAAGATTCAGGTTCAATTATCTCTGTCTTTGTGTACGGAGTTAGCATGATTAACCATTCTATTAATAAATTTTTGAGATCCACATGTTGCGCGATAGTTTGCAGAATAAAATAATGTACGATTTCATGATAATGTACGTTCTGATGGCGCGAACGAGAACAATTGAATAATTACTGGAGATGAAATACAGTTTCTGATTACTTTACTTGCGAACAAAATATCGGTAATTTTTCTACCATTATGCAGGACTCGAAGAATTGTATTTTAAACGGATTGCATCTCATTTATAATCCATACTAAATTATGGCATAGCCCTAACTCGGTCAGCTCATTACAAAAATTAACAGCCTAATTGCCCGCGTCTCTTTCACCAGAATGGATCGTCCAGCGAGTGAAAGAAACGTCGCTGTTCCGACTTCCACGAAGTATCTTCTCAAAATAAAAATCTGCATAAAACTGTGATGAATTTAAATGACACCCAGAACGTGACAGTAAGTTTCCTCGATAAATGAATCGAATAAAGGGGCTGGAGGTGTGACAAGCGTTATGTCAAGCGTCAAAAAGGGATCACGGGTAAACGACCGTTCTCACTAAAAACGCTAGTTAACGACATTGTGTGCGAGTTCGCCGGGATAGGTAGCCGCGAGGAGAGAAACCTGCGCAATCTGGTGCCTCGTAACGAGGCGGCCTCTCCGTACGCTCGCCCCTTAAGCTCGATCATAAAGAGCGACGATAACAGGCCGGGCTCGGCGACGGCTCGAACACGACAGTGTCCCACTGTTACGGCGGGACGGATTCATAAATTTACGCTTCGCGGCTATTTTCTTCGTGTATACGCTTTGTGTGTGGTCCGATAACCTCCGACTGGCCGATCCCCGTTCCATTTACCCCGCGTCACCCTCTTTCTGTCAACTTTACTGTTAAGGCCAGAGCCGATAACATCTCGATTATCAAACGACATGCTATTGGGTTGGCAACTAAGTAATTGCCGATTTGTTCAATGAAATAAAAATTTTTTTTACTTGGAACGAAGTTTCATCTGTAATGTATTTTCCATTTTGTTCGATGACCTTTTGCCATCTCTCTGACAACTTGAAAATTCCACGCTCGTAGAAAGTCTGATCCTTTTCGGCCAAAAACTGAGTTAAGTGAGATTTTACAGCGTCATCGTCGTTCAAAGTTTTACCACGAAGGGAGTTGTCCAGGGATCGAAATAAGTGGTAATACGATGGCGCGAGATCAGGCCTATATGGTGGGTGTAACATCGATTCCCAAGCAATATCCATGAATTTTTGCCGAGTGGACAAAGACGTGTGCGGCCTAGCATTGTCCTGCTGGAAAATGACACCTTTACGATCGACCAATTCTGGTCGCTTTTCCTTGTCCGCTGTATTCAATTTGTCCAGTTGCTAACATTCACGGATAATAAAAAATAACATAATAATAATAATAATAATAATTTTATAATATAACATTTACGGATATTACGGATATCTATAAGTGAAATCGGCAATTACTTAGTTGCCAACCCAATATATTCGTACGAAATTATTAACGATCTTGCCGAACGGACAATCGATTCTTCAGATGTTGGAGACTCTTTGGGCAACTGGTTCGAAAAATCGGTTTCATTTACGTCTGCAAACTCTTCAAAGTACGATGTGCTTTGAAATTTTGTGACTGAATTCGCAAGAATAGAGATGTTACTATTATTCGATCCGTTGTACGGTTTATTTATTCACGGGGTATATAAGCTTTGGTTTACACAAATGGATTAACGAATATGCATAATTAGTATTATTACAAAAAGTACCAAATGTAGTTTAGTTCTAAGATTCTTCAGGTTCTAGAACATCATTATTAACCCTTAACGGTCCAAAACAAGCACGATTGTTTCGATGAAAATAAATTAACGAAGTTTTATTTAAAAAATGAATATCTCTTCTCTATACTTGATACAAAAATTTTCAATAAAAAATTTCTCTTTGTCTGAAAAACAGTCCGGACTTGGCAGTGCGTAAACTGGAAATAAATAGTTTTTGGTCCCCTAAGGGTTAATGTTGTTTCTTATGGATGATGATTTTGTTACAAAATGAATAGTGATGAGAAAGATCACTTTCATTCTGAGCACTCGAACTCGTTTAATCGTTCATGTTCTTTTCTGAAAGTTGGCGTAACCACGCCATAAATGCGCGAACTACCTATACTTTAATTCTACCCTATGCATTTTATTCGAAATTTTATATTTCGAACGAACACGTTAAATTTCAACATACTCCAAAAACAATAAACGATTTTATAGTAGCTAGAAACAAAAAATGTACGTACTTTTTTACGCAATAGTCGTATAAAAGTCAAGAATTTGACGGAATAAAATTGCATGGACTTCATTCTGAACACTTTTCTGAATCATTCTACAAGTACTAGCACGTAAATTATGAATATAACAAGATGGTTATCTGTACTCATCGAATTGCAACACAAATGGAGAACAATGAACGATTTCTATGGTATCTAGAATCAAACAATGAACGAATTTTCACGTGACAAAATAGTATGAGGATTAAAATCTTGACAAAATTAAGATGAATAGACCTCATTCAGACACGAGAACACTTTCGTAGGTCACTGTACAATGAAGGCTGTGTAATTTCTAAATGTCTCCATATTTATTGCATCGCATTACAGACGATTTAATAAGAAAACGAATAAGCGATGCAAAGAGGAGAATCTTCCTGATCGAGGCTTCCCAGAGAAAAATCGTGTCGCAGGCACTATGTCCGCGAAATCGACGGCGTTCCTCGGCGGGCAATCGGCGATCGTCTTCCTTATCGCGGCTGTGAGACGCGATCCGAGATAACCGCGCGATCCGCGAGGCAGTTTAATGGCAGCTAGGCTCGATCGACGGAATTTATATTTCGCGGGGATCGGATAAAAGAACGATCCGACTCGGTGCTCGATGGAATTGCTCGCGACTGTTCTGGCAATAAAAACGAAAGGGATTCTCGTGCTCTTTCTTCACCGCTCCTCCCTCTCTCTCTCTTTCTTTTTCTCTTATGCTTTCGACTTGGGTCGCTCGTGGATGCAGTAAAATTAACTTTTAAGACTGTCGAGTGAAACGTTCCGCGCGCGTATGAACATCCACTGCGTTCTGAGACGTTTATTACGCGTTTCGCGCTTGCCAGCCACCTGTGCGATGGCATAATTAAATAAAATAGAGGGGGCGGGAGCAACGCGAGCTCTAAAGATCGCGTAGATCGAGTTTTCAAGAATAAATACGATATATTGTACGTTTTGCTAGTGTTTCCTTGTAAGAGTTTCGTGTCCGCAATTTTGTCGATATTCGAACGTCTCTTAGGTGCAAAGGAAAATTTTTTGTCACGTAATCTGAAAGGGCAAATCGAAAGAAGATTTGAAGATTGTGGTCTGACCTTTGTCATGACCCTACGAATTTTAACGTACAATTTCTTTTGGCTGATCTATCAGGCTTTCAGGAACCAATTTTAAAACGTTGAATGAAATTAACTTGGCGGTGACGCCATGGGGGCCACCGGTGACCGGCGCGCCCAAATTGATAGAAATATATATGATTTAAAACAAATGTCAATATTTAAAATTTTGTATTAACACCATCGTCGATTCGAACAGTGACCCATGTCGCAATTAACACGTCAAACATGGTTATACACTGTAACTTATCTATTGCAGATAATATTTCATGTATTACATAAAAGAAAACTCATCGTGGCGCCACGGACAATTTCTGTAAAACCGGCGTGGCATTCGACGTGTTAAGATATTTTATTTATTTTCGTTCACGCTGTACAGTAAATTCTCCCTAATTCGCGCTCAGTTGTGCACAAAAATGAACAATTTGGAAAGAGGAGATACGATTATGAAAATTATGAAAATCTAGAGAAAAGCAAACTAAAGGCACCCTCGCCATTTAATGGCTCCGTTAAAGAATACAGTTTGTACAGTAAAGTTATCGAGTTCAAGTTTATTCCCACGGAATACCTAAACAAATATTTATGGATTGCAATGATATAGGTGATCTCCTGGAAACTTTGCGAAAAGAAGTGATTTGCTGTACATAAGAAATCAAAACTAGAACTTGCTATTTTTTCTTGAAGATTAAACTAATATGAGCTATCCTTTGTGCCTAATTTCTGCTGAATCGTGCATCAAGTTCTGCAGAATGGTTGCAAAGAGAATGCTTCAACCTTGAAATCTACGTTCGATTCAGTCCCGAAAAAATTCTCCATTGCTGTTACGGCCGGTTTAATCGATTGCAAACGAAGATATTCAAAGTGGTAAGAACATTTCCTTCGGAGAAGGCAAATTACGTACAAAGACGTATAAAAATAAAATAACATGTTAATTGAATGATATTTCAAATATTATAGTTACTATAGTATATATACTATACTAGTATATAGTATAGTATAGTATAGTATATACTATAGTATAGTATACTAATATAGTATATAGTATAGTATATATACTATAGCAACTATAATATTTGAAATATCAATTCAATTAACATGTTATTTATAGTATATATATACTATACTATATTATAACTAAATATAATAATAGTACGGCTAATAGTATAGCTAATAATAGTATAACTAAATATACAGTTATACTTCAATCATTATAGGAGATTTGCGATCGTTTTAATGGTTCGAAATGATTATTAGATGGTTTCAAGGCTTACCGTGGGCGTGTAGAAGGGTGCCTGTTCAGCGCCGAGGCTCGGAAAGTACGCTGCCATGCCCTCGGAGGCGGCGGCGGCGGCCGCTGCCGCGTACGGGGCGCTGTACATCGACAACGCTGCCGTCGGCAACGCTCCCAGTCGTTGATAACCGCCGAGCAACTCGTACTGACAGGAGCAGACCGTCTGACCCGTCAAAGGGTCCGTGAAGATCGGCCTTCCGGTGTCGCAACATCGTCCGGTCGGCGTCGGCCCGCCGGTCGTCGGCGGTGGATGACCTTGGGACGGGCTGACCGAGGTGGTAGGACTGCCAGGAGGCCTGACCACAGCGCTGGTCACCGCCATCCTCGCATTCGACAGACCGGCTACGCTCAGGGGATGATTCGTGGCCGTGCCCGCTACGCTGACCAGCGACGAACCGCCTGCGCTCAGGATAGCGCCGGACACCGGCGAAGCCGACGACGACGCTAACGACGAGCTCACTGTCACAGGACACTGAAACAAAAATCATATCTCGGTTAGATCATCTCGGGGAACTAATTGACTGGCTTGGATATTCGAGCGATCGAATGTTCGTGTTCTTAAATGATACGAAATTGGAAAAGATACGAAAATGTAAACACAATTAAAAACATTTAGGAACACTGCTATCTTCTCTTTGATTTATTAAAATTGTTGAACGGAAAGATGCGTATTCATTTCCTTTTTGTTTTCTTACAATTGAGTTAGTCAGTTTTTTTTGCGTAAAGATGCGCTGTCTATAGCTGTAATACGATAGAATAAAAGAATTATTTTTTGTAGCAGAAAGAAAATGCGAGGCTTCTGAAAGGTGGTCCCCAGTTAGAAGATTAATCCCTTAACGCACAGTTTTTTTGAAAAAAAATACGGCCAAAAAAATCAAATTTTTTTATGTAAATTGTTCCATGGAAAAAGGCTATATTTTATTCTTGAATAAATAAGTGTTATAGCTTACGATCCCATGTAAATGATAAATATCAATAAAACGATTTTTTTTCTTTGCTTCCACATTGTTATTTTCAATTCTCGATTATATTCGAGTATGAAAAATTACAGCAGCATAAAATACAACGCCGCTCGAATTATCTCGAGCGTACAAGTTAAGGGGTTAAGCTGTGTCTTTACTGAGATAAGATCGAGTGACATCGATCTCTTGCTTCTGCTTCAATTTTTGCAGTAGCCAAACTCATATTAATTTAAAATTGTACACATTTTTTTATCGTTTCAACTAAACAAAATAGTCGCAATCGAGATATATCTTTCTGAAATTGATCTAAGTTTGAATCCAGTCAATGCCATTAGATTTCATTCATTTGAAACGAAAAATTCGTAAATGTTGTTGAAACATGTTTAATAAACCTGGTAAATACTTGCTTCGCAAAAAAATATCGCAAAGAAAGTTAAGGAAAACCGCACTTTACGCTGGAATACCCTCTTAAAAATCAGGCAACACGAAAATCCCATAACCCGGTTGCATTTCAAAGAGGAGTCGCTATTTGCGAAACAAGCGTCTAATGCGGCTCCTCTTCTGATATCTGGCTTTACATAACCAATATTGACTTATCGGACGCAATCGTGAATTTGCATCGCAGAAAATCCGATCAGCTAAGTACAATATTTCCCAGCAAACATGCAAAGCAGTAAAAATGTCACCGAACAAATAGAGCCGGTGCTCCTTCGTCGCAAGAACCGCTTACGCGGTTCAAAAAATTCGATCGGCGGAACGAGGCGTGCTCCCGATCGAGAATGCATGCGCGGTATAAAATTCCCGGTTTTGTTGAAACGTCACGTAACACCGCTCCGACCATCAAATGACGCGGCGCTACGTCATCGCGGGTCCAACAGCGGCGCGACACTTGTACGGCTTTGTTCGGCGGGCTTGTCGTCGTTCAGTCACCGATCACGGAACACTCTTTAATCGAATGCGCGTTACATTCTATCCGTATCGAGTGCGTACGTCAGCGGGCCGGGACGGAGATTGATTCCCGCGTGTACTCACGAAAAAGAGGATATCAAGTTATTCCAGCGGAAGGTTATATCAACACGCGTCCCCGCTCCCCGGGCAAACAATAATCCCAGGACACTTTGATGCCTCGGTCACCCGCTCGGTTCTCGCGTTACAACGTCGTCTTTTCCACGACATTTTTTACCGCGAACTTAATATTTACCGGGGCCCCACGGGGTCCGCGTCGGACATCGTGTTCATGGGGTCTGGCAACATCGGGGGACCAGGTAGTTAGCGCTGTTAACCGATTACGAAATCGGAAAAGTCGACGGTGTGCCTTTTGCCGCGCGTAGTTGAGACGGACACGCGTTACGCCTCTGCCAACAACTCACTCGGTACACACAAGCTAGCCGCATTAACATAGCCGAAGTTTGCTCTAGAGGAGACTACCGGCGGCGAGAGAATTCGCTGACGATGGACGCGTCCCTTCGGGGCCTGACGGTATGTATAATCGTCACCCGATCCCAACGCATCTCGTCCGGTTCCCGTCGCTTCAGATAAAAACACGCTGCAGGTCGACTTATTCTGCTGCTCCATCATCGTGGAATAGAATTTTTCACTTGTTCAACTCTTGTGTCAATAACAGGGTACTCCGATTACCATTTTGCACATTCTCTTCGAGATATTTTCTGCTCTCAGTAAAATATTTTAACATCCGGCTTATAGATCGTCGTTAACCTTTTAGGTACGGCTGAATTCTGCGCGAGGCTATTTCTCTGGACGGCAGAGTCTGATGTGTACTGTACAGAGTCTGATACTGTATATACAAGAGGTGTCCCAAAAATGTCTCGCAATCCGAAAGTGGCGGGTTCCTCGGGCCATTTGAGGCAATTTTTTCCTTTACAAAAATTTTCTCCGAGGCACCGTTAACGAATTATTAACGAAAAACAGTGACCAATGAGAGGCGACGACAGTGACCAGGCCTCGCGCGCTGGTTGGCCGGGCCGCCTCGCGTCAGCCGTACTCGATTCTTATTGGTCACTGTTTTTCGTTGATAACTCGTTAACGGTGCCTCGGAGAACATTTTTGTAAAAGAAGAAGTTGCTTCGAATGATCCGAGGAACCCGTCATTTCCGGATTGCGAGATATTTTTGGGACACCCTGCAGACTATTGTAAATCGATGCGAAGACAAAAGAAGTGTGAAACAATGCATACGAAGACGATTATTTAGTTCAAACGATGAGCGAGTGAGCTACCAGAGCAAGCCAATATAGTGGCGCGTCGTGCCTAAAAAGTTGTCTCCAGTCTATAATTTTGTTATAGTAAGCACTAGAGTAAGGTACTAGGATAATCGGGCAAGTTATTGTGGAGCGACCAATTGCTGTGCCTTTGTTTTATTTTCAGGCATAATTTCTCTATTATTGTATCGCAGTTTGATGCGTTTGTTTGAGAAGCGAAGTCGCGAGTAAAGCACGCAACTTGTTGAACTACGACGATTCTCTACAGCCTTATGAAACTATAAATTATCATTGCAGCGTTATTTATTCATTTTACCGATTTGCATGTAAGGACAATTATATCGTTTCCCAACAGTTCTGAACAGATTAGCAAAGTGGCACGTACAAATATAATGTAACTTGTTAGTTCTGGAAACAAAGACGGGAAACACTGCGCAGAGCAAAGGTTAAATAAATCGCTTTGACTTTATATAACCTTTCCGACTACTGAAACAACGGTCGACAAGTTAAAACAGCGCGCGTTACTTTCTCAAACCACGGTCCACTTAATCGGCCAACTACCGTATTACGGTGTCTGTCGCCGTACCTCAACTGGCAATTCCCGCAGAACCAAGTTCGCCAGGCAAATCCAGCAGCTCCGACAAAAGATACCAGAGCGAGCAGCCCATTAACAAAGCAAAATTAAGCCCGTCACCGCGATATCAGCAGTTTATCTGAACAGGCCAACAAACGACGTTTCCATATCGATAAACGACCGACTGGAGAGAGAGAGAGAGAGCCGCCTGTCGTCCGTGGCGCAAGATCGAGGAAACGCGGATTACCGGGTAGCGAGGCGGACACCTGCCGCGTGCGCCGATTGTTTCCGATTCGCGAAACAATGAACGGGTCTCTGGCCGGCACGGTGTCGATAATCGCGGAGAGTCGACCTAGGCGGCAGCTGCACGAAAGAACCACACCCAGCAGCGACCCCCGTGTTTTCCAGCAGCCTGAAAAGGCAGAGCAACTGCTAAGTCGACGGATCGCGTGGCCCCCTCTTCCGCACGGTAAACCGAAAATCGGTGGAAAGGGGATCCGTGAATAATAGCGGCGGGGAGGGGGGGTCTCCTCATTAATTCCATATCAAACAGCACGGCTAAATAGATTAGCGGGTTGAGTGGGTTTCGCGCCCCGGACCTAAACAAACCCCCGGCTCGTTCCCGCAGGATCGTGCGACTCTGCCGACCATCAATCCGTCCCGTCCGCAACCATCCATCCATCCATCCACCCATCCATCCATCCATCCATCCGTCCGTCCGTCCGTCCATCCACCCATCCGTCCGTCCGTCGGCTGGCCGGCTCGTCCCGATGGCCCCAAACATATTGTCGAAAGCCAGCCGCGCGCATTGTGTCGGCACGAAAAACGTGACCCGCCACGCATTATGGCGTCGAGAGCCGCGTTAATGCGTGTCCTGGGCCGCTACTCCGCGAAACCAAACCGTCCAACTGCCTGCCATGCCGTTCCGATGTCGATCCATGTAACCGTGCGTTATAACCGTGCCCGCGCGATCCACAGCCTCCCTCGATCCTACGATCAAACTGTGGATACACAGGCCACGGCCGCGCGACGTGTTCCCCTGGTTTCCGATCCGAGGTTTTTGGTAACGCGTCGCGACGCTTCCCATCGCTGATACTATAATCGCCGGGCACGATCATCCTGCGCCCCCGGTTTGTTTGCGCCACTCGGCCCGATGTTCCTACGCCGCAGCGGTCGATTTCATTGAAAACGCGAACGAACTCGGATCTTTGCGAATTGCGCGCGTTCGATGAACTTTGCGAAGCGTCGCGCCGTGGCTTTCCGTCTTCGCAGGTTTTCTCCGGAAGAAGTAAACCGTTGTTTTTATTTGCCGATGTTCCTTCTTCTAGACATATTTGTATGATTCTTCTCAAATTTTATGTCGGGTATGTAATGTACATTTTCATTGTTTTTGGTACTTCGGTTTAGAGGAAAGGCCTCGAGAGCACAGATTTTAAAAAACAGACGACGGATTTTTACGCAGGATGAAAAAATTTGTAGCTGGATCATTGGAGACAGAAGACACATCGACGCGTATTTTGTTCTCTTTTTGCTATAAATGCGTAAAATCCGCGGTCGAATGTCTGTCAATGTAAAAATCGTTCGTCGAAAGTATTCTAACGCTTTGTCGTTACCACATAAATTTTAGATAAACGATGGTTGGTGTAATATTTTTTGTTCCGAAAATAGCGTACTGTTTCTAACAAATTTATTTGACATATGCAATACTTTTTAATGGAT